GGCAGCCTCTGGAAACTGGAACCGACAAGAAAACAGACTTTCTGTCCAGGCACGGTGGCTCACACCTATAAACTCAACACTTTGGGAGGCTGAGGTGGGTGGGTCATGAGGTTAGGAGTTTGAGACCAGCCTGACCAACATGGTGAAACCCGTCTCTACGAAAAATACAAAAATTAGCCGGGCATGGTGGTGCATGCCTGTAATCCCAGCTACTCGGGAGGCTGAGGCAGGAGAATCACTTGAACCCTGGAGGCGGAGGTTGTGGTGAGCTGAGATCGAACCATTGCACTCCAGAAAAGAAAAAAAGAAAACAGACTTTCCCCTAGAGCCTCCCACAGGGGCACAGCCCCACTGACACCTTGATTTTAGCCTAGTGGGGATCACTGAGACTTCTGATCTCCAGAACTGTAAAAGAATATGTATTGTCTTAAGCTGCTAATTTGGAGTGATCTGTCCAGCAGACATAGGACAATAGCACAGTGGGAGGTCTTGGAGGTCTTCCATCAGGCAGTGGCTCTTGAACGAAATCTGAAGGAATTAGGAGGGAAGGGCCCAACACATTTGGCAGGTAAGGTTGGCATAGATGGAGGAGGTATGTCCTAGGACAGAAGTGGGCGAGCTCTGTAGGTTTCCAAGCAGGCAGGGCCAGGTAGGCCACATTCAGTATATAGATTCTTCTTTATTTTTCTAGAGACCAAGTCTTGTATTGCCCAGGTTGATCTTAAAATCTTGGCATCAAGCGATCCTCTTGCCTCAGCCTCCCGAAGTGCTATGATTACAGGAATGAGCCAGCACACCTGGCCATTCCTCCTCAAAGCAACAGGAAGCTGGGCATGATGACGTACACCTGTAATCCCGGCTACTCAGGAGAGTGAGGCAGAAGAGCCTAGGAGTTCAAGACCAGCCTGAGCAACATAGCAAGACTTTATCTCAAAAAAAAAAAAAAAAAAAAAAATTTCAATTTAAAAACAAATAAAAGCAATGGGAATCCACTGAAGGACTTAATTTCGAGGATGGCATCAGCAAAATTTTGCTGAATAAAATTGTTAATTTCAGATTAATCCCCTACCTCACTACACCTAATTTATCTCACACAGTATGCAAATTAATATTAACCCGAGACAATTAAAAAGGCCAACGGACTTGGGATATGTCACTGATAAATTCCTAACTACAAATTATTTGCACATTATCCCCAGACATTCTCTCCTCCCATAAAAATGAGTAGTTAAAAGTTGACCCTAGCCAGGCACTGTGGCTCATGCCTCTAATTCCAGCACTTTGGGAGGCTGAGGCAGGCAGATCACCTGAGGTTGGGAGTTCAATACCAACCTGACCAACATGGAGAAATCTGCCTGTACTAAAAATACAAAATTAGCCAGGCTTGGTGGCACATGCCTGTAATCCCAGCTACCCGGGAAGCTGAGGCAGGAGAATCGCTTGAACCCGGGAGCTGGAAGCTGTGGTGAGCTGAGATGGCGCCACTGCACTCCAGCCTGGGCAACAAGAGCAAAATTCCGTCTCAAAAAAAAAAAAAAAAAAAAGTTGACACTAATACCAAGAAAAGTCTGGTTGATACTTTGTTTCAAATGGTTGAGATTAATAAACATAGTAACACAAGATTTGCTTTCACAGTAAAATTGAGTTAAAAGGAATACACAGGCCAGGAATTTTCTGTTGACCATCAAGTGTGGTGTGACATCTAGTGGCCAAAGTTACCAATTTTCTTTCTTTCTTCTTGGTTTAATTTAAACACACTAGATACAATGTACCTTGAGGCCAGTAAACATCCAGCAACCACTATGTGTTAAAAGTTAAATTGACTGTAGGGAGATTCAAATGAAAAATGTGCTGCCTCTGTTTCCCTTGGAGCTTGCAGACTCAGTAGAGGATGGAAAGACAAGTAGACAAGTATGTAGATAGACAGATTTTTTTTGAGACAAAGTCTCCCTCTTGTCCCCCAGGCTGGAGTGTAATGGCACCATCTCGGCTCACTGCAACCTTTACCTCCCAGCTTCAAGCGATTCTCCTGCCTCAATCTCCCAAGTAGCTGGGATTATAGGCTCGAGCCACCACGCCTGGCTAATTTTTGTATTATCAGTAGAGACGGGTTTTCACCATGTTGGCCAAGCTGGTCTCGAACTCCTGACCTAAGGTGATCTGCCTGCCTCTACTTCCCAGCATGCTGGAAATATAGGTGTGAGCCACCATGCCCAGCCAAGTATTTAGATATTCTTTTGCGTGTGTGTGTGTGTGTGTGTGTGTGTGTGTGTGTGTGTGTGAGAGAGAGAGAGAGACAGAGTGTCATTCTATCACCCAGGCTGGAGTGCAATCTCAGCTGACTGCAACCTCTGCCTCCCGGGTTCAAGTGATTCTCCTGCCTCAGCCTCCTGAGTAGCTGGGACACCATGCCTGGCTAATTTTTGTATTATTAACAGAGACAGGGTTTCACCATGTTGGTCAGGCCGGTCTCCATCTCCTGACCTCATGATCCGCCCACCTTGGCCTCCCAAAGTGCTGGGATTACAGAAGTGCACCACTGCTCCGGTCCATATTGGGCAGATGATTGTAGCTCTTGTTATGACTATTTTTCCACCCTGTAGCAGGTGTTAGGCAACCAAATGGAAATGAGGGATCCCTGGGCTGGAGACAGACATTTGAGATCCATCAGTGAACAGGTTACTGCTCAGACTTAAGTGTGGAGGATGCACAGGAATGCTTAGCACTGTGACTGGTGCTGCCATGAAGCAGCCTCTACTTCTCTACTGTGAAAAATCATCCAATCAAAAGTGTCAAACGCTGTGATTGCAGGAGAACCCATGGGAGAGTTCCAAGGAATGCTGTAGGGAAACGCCTGGGCTTGATGAAATAACGGTGTTAAATCACAGATGCAGGCAAATTCACGTTGTATTACAGCTGAATTTTGTAAACTTCTGGTGTTTCTAATATTCTAAATTGGGTTCCTTTGGGGAAATTGTTCATCTTGGAGGTGCCTGTCCAACTGGTTGAAAGACAAAAATACCTCCTCTCAGAAATTCTGTGGAGATCAGCTGAGTTGTCTCAAAAACATTATCATTACTTATCTATCATCTATTTATCTGTCTATCTGTCTATCTATCTATCTATCTATCTATCTATCTATCTATTTTGAGACGGAGTCTCACTCTGTCATCCAGAACGGAGTGCAGTGGTGTGATCGAGGCTCACTGCAACCTCCACCTCCCGTGTTGAATCAATTCTCCTGCCTCAGCCTCCCGAGTAGCTGGGATTACAGACGAGCGCCACCATGCCGGGCTCATTTTTTGTATTTTTAGTAGAGACAGGGCTTCACCATGTTAGCCAGGGTGATCTCAATCTCCTGACCTCGTGATCCACCCACCTCGGCCTCCCAAAATGCTGGGATTACAGGCGTGAGCCACCACACCAGGTTCAAAAATTTGAAAATAAATAAGAACTATATAGAATTAATTCTATCACATGGAATGCCAAATTTTAGTCTGGGAAATGTAACAGAAGTGTTTCATTTTGTAACAGATTTTTGTTTTGAATTTTTACCAATTTGGGAGAAATTTTTAAATGTATTAACTTTAGTTAATGTTTAGAATTTCATTATCAGTAACTGAGAATGGAGCATTCCTGTCAATGTTGTTAAAACCACAGTCAGGAAATTTGTTCAATGTGATTATTTGTCACTTGGTCAACTTGCAGAGTTGGCTCCCAAACTGATTTGCAGTAACTCAATGTAGCCAACATGAAGGACAGCAGAGGGCAGCAAAGAGTCAATGGCCTTGGGAAGGGAGCGGGCACATTTTACCCATTGTGAGCATGTGCAAGGGGCAGGTTCGTCTTCGTATACCTCAGTACTATTTTTTATTTATTTTATTTTATTTTATTTTATATTTTTGGTAAGTGCATGGCCCTATCACATTTGAAGGTAGTTCAGATTTTTAACCTATGGTATCAGTTCAGGCTGGGTGCAATGGCTCATGCCTGTAATCCCGACACTTTGGGAGGCCCAGGCAGGTGGATCACTCGAGGTCAGGAGTTCGAGACCAGCCTGGCCAATATGGTAAAACTCCATCTCTACTAAAAATACAAAAATTAGCCAGGCGTGGCAGCATGCGCCTGTAGTCTCAGCTATTAGAGAGGCTGAGACAGGAGAAATGCTTGAACCCAGGAGGCGGAGGTTACAGTAAGCCACGATCGTGCCACTGCACTCCAGCCTGGTGACAGAGCAAGTGGGCAACAGAGCAAAACTCTTTAAAAAAAAAAAAATCAATCCGAAGTAGATTGTGTTAGTAATTTTATTCACTAAAAATCTATATACCAAAACTAAGGTTTTTTTGGTTTTAGGTTTTTGGTTTTAATTTATTCCAGCTTCTCCAAAGCAGAAAAAGCTAAGGTTTTAAAGAGAGAGATTTGGCTGGGGGTGGTGGCTCACACCTGTAATCCCAGCACTTTGGGAGGCTGAGGTGGGTGTATCACAAGGTCAGGGGTTTGAGACCAGCCTGGTCAATATGATGAAACCCCGTCTCTACTAAAAATACAAAAATTAGCCAGGCCTGGTGGCAGGCACATGCCTGTAGTCTCAGCTACTCGGGAGGCTGAGGCAGGAGAATCACTTTAACCCAGGAGGCGGAGGTTGCAGCGAGCTGAGATTGGGCCACTGCACTCCAGCCTAGATGACAGAGGGGGAGTCCATCTCAA